ATCGATCACAAGTTTTCCGGGGTTTGGAAACATGGGTCGACCCATTGTTGGACGAGCACTTAGACGATGGCCGGAACATACCTGTTACTCGGATTGATACTGTGACTATCAATATTGATACGTGGAGGTATGGAAACGGCAACAAAGAGATCAGTCTTGCAGAAATACCTTTCCGTAAGATTAAAGGTCTGGCACATCTGGACTTTAAGGAGCTGTACCCAGTGGACTTCGCAAAGTCAGAAACCTACCTTCTCGAATTGATCAAATACATCGATGAGCGACTGTATGGTACGGGGAAAGTAGCGAAAAAGATCGGAAAGATACAATTTTACCTTGATGGAAAGTTGTCAAGAGAATTGAACACAGTGGTATGACACAACGGCCAAGCTGTACCGCAGGGCGACGCTATGTGGAACTCACAATCCCTCCTGAACGCAGACACCAGCAATGCCTAGCCTATCAGATCAACCCAACTTGCTTATCGTCGACATCGCGGTCACGGCCTGTTCACCCGACACATCACTATTTATCGGCATACAAAGCCGCACCCAGACGGTGATGAATATCATGGGGAACAGCCATTCTTACTTCGGTTCAAACATCATCCAGGACCGGAGCAATTGAGGAGTGATTGTTGAAGAACTGGCAGCGACTGGTCTGAAGTCGCCAACGACGAACATGACAGGAAGATGGAGCTAGGATGCATGCCGAATGTTTGACGGTATCAGGCGCAAGGCTTGACTCCCCATCAGGGCAGCACCAAGCGATGCTGTGTTGGCATTTGGATCCGAATGCGAGTAGCGCTCAACAAGTCTGGCAGGGCGAGCATGCAGCAGTTCGTCGCACAACCGCTTCTGGACGCATTGCGTATGGATTAAGGAGCGTATTCTGTTCACCCTATGCTCTCGCAATCTGGTTTTCGTGAGACAATCGGTTGACGGAACCTTAGCTTGCCTATAGCTTGAAGCCACAGAAACAAGCTTCACCACGATCGCCTCTAAAAAGCAAGCGCCCGCGAATGTGGCTCGTCATTCTCCGATGATCAGCTCAGGAATCGAGCGATTCGGCAGCCACGACGAATATGCCATTGGAGATCTACGAGGCTGTGACGCGCATGGAACTGGTTTCCCATGCATGGGATTTCCAAATCACGTTCAAGAAAAAGCATGGGGATTTTCAGTGACGTACTTGCCTGCAACAGGTTAGCACTGCTTTAGCGGTGTCACGTGCGCTGGTTCTCAGCCACCAATCACGCCTGTATCGTGGCTTGTTGTTCAAAGCTATCCAATCTCATGACGCGCCGTAGAAGCGCAAAGGCAACATGCCACTGCCGTGCATCAAGCCTAAGCGAAATCTCCGCGGTTCCAGGTTTAATTTGGATGCGGGGGGCTGGTACCGAAGCTGACGGTGACGGTGAGTGACGACCGTGTCAAACGGGCAAGAGGGGCCTGGTCTTTGTGTCACATCGCTGTCACCCCATCCTCAAAGCTATAAGATAGTAGATCTTCGCGCTGGCCTCATCTTCAGCATTCAGCAGAATTCACCAATCCATCAATACCATCCACGTCGACAAACATGGTGCACGCCCAGGAGCCCATTGACGGTCCGGTCGACTACCCAGTCACCGACAAGCGCGAGCAAACAGGTCTTCTTACGCGTCAGTAACTACCCATGAACTGGATGTGAGACATATACTGACTGCGTACACCCATCTTTAGGCTTTGTGCCGGACAAGCTCAAGAACACTTCCTTCTACCGTTGGTTCTTACGTTTCACACGCCTCCTACAATTCATCAGCTCTGTGGTCTCACTCGGCATCTTTTCTCAACGCTTATATAAGGTGTATCGCCTTGTCAACAGCGTCAAGACCTATCGCGGCATCAACGGCAGCTATGGTGCAGTCGAGGGCATTCTTGCCGCCGCCGTGCTGTATACTTTGATCACGATCCTACTTTCTTGCATCAAGAAGTCAGCGAACCCTGGCGGTCGAGTACTCCGATGGATCTGGGTACTTCTCGACCTTGCATTTGTTGGAGCATTCATCGCAGTGGCTGTGCTTACGCGACCGAACGGAGGTCTCGCTGGTGCTCGTCACTGCTACAGCCCGGAGCGTATTGCTAACGGCAATACTGGTGTTGTTACTGGCGCGACTGCGAGCCGTGATGACAGCTGTAACCTGCCGTGGGGCACCTTCATCCTGGCAATTATCAGCACGTATGTTCTCCGCTGCCCAAATCCCTGAATCATCTGCTAACTGGCTGCCAGACTCCTCCATGCCATCACCGCCTCCTTCCACGAGATTAGGGACCACCGCCGAAAGGCTAGGCTCGAACACGAGAAGGCCGTTCAGCCACAACACACCGAGGCCGCCGCTGATGGCGTCCGCTACTAGATTCTCAAACCGCTCGATGTTCCGTTAGAAAAAAGGCATGGAGGTTGTGAAGCACGAAGGTGTGCCCACACATTTCTACCAAGCCTCACGAACAACACACATGTATACCCATAGTGCATCAGCCCAGCCCTTGATGCATTATATTCTCACGATTTTTCACTTTAGCGAATGGCGCAACTGGGCCGGAGTTTCTGTAGTCATCGAGCGAAATAATTCTGCGTTCAACTAATGCAACACCTACCGTATATTCTACTCGAAGATTTCTATCAGATGGTGATGCCAATTCCGAAGTAACAAAGCTGGTGACGCTATCCATCTCGGTGACCCGCCCACCGGCCTAGAAATCGCTCAACACAGTCTTCTCAAACTCCTCTGCATACTCTTTTGCTGGGGTGATTGCTCCAAGCCAATACCCACCCCTAGCATCCTTACCAACACACATACCAATGCCCCCTGAGCTTTTACCCCAACCGTCCACCCGTCTATCGTGACCGTTAACACTGATATACATAGGCTTTCCTCTGGTCGGCCTACTAGTCAACCCACCCTCATCACCATCATCAAAAACGACAGCAGCGCTGAAATCTGTATCAAACAACGTTGCCTTTGCCCAGTTTGAGAACACGTAGGCTGCCGGCCCCATCTGCGGATCCGACGGAGGCGTAAGGTTTTGCTGTCCGTTGCGGCTGGCACGCTGCGAAGCTTCCACGGCCTCTCTATTCGCCTGCTCAACAAGATCTTTGCGAATACGAGCCGCAACGTGACCCAACGGCATACCGACAAACTGCTGTACACTGAACGCCGAAATGATTCCACCTGTGCAGTTTGCAACATATGCTTTTCCTTTTGGAATCAAGACCTCGTATTTGGATGATGAGGTAGATAATACGTCTCGCATGCCCAAGACATTGAGGATTATGATGGGCCGAGCAGGTGGTGAGTTGAGCAGAGAGGTGTCGGAAGAAACGAGATGGCGGATTAACCATGCTGAGAAGATGTCGCCGTCTGAGAGGAAGGGCTTTGGTGCGGAAGACGTTGAGGTGTTGTAGGTTATTTGTGAGGCGTCGAGAGATTCAAGATCGTGCATTGCTTCAATTCGCAAGCGAGCCATGTAGGCCGCGGGCATGTAGAGCATACGGCCGTTCTGCGTTGTTGTCGGTCTAAAGAACCGAGAGTAGAGGTATGCGAGCGTCGTTCTGGGGTCTAGCAAGCTTGGAAGCCAGGTCTTGAAGTTTGACATCACCATCCAGATCTGAGATTGCGCTTTCTCTTGCACCTGCGCGTTGCCGGCACTCATACCCTCTGCATCCTGGTTGTCCTCATCGGGAGAAGCTCCAAGCCGCATCAATGGGTCGAAATCGTAACCCCAGAACTCCGGTACATCTTCGTCTCTTCCTTCCAACACTGCCGTCCAGGCTTTTAGTAGAGTTTGTCGTCCCATCGCATCAAGAAGCGTATGTAGCCAAGTCAGAGTGACGAGTGTCGCATCCTTGAAGCTCACTACATGTAAGCCTAACTGCGCTTCGTCTGAGAAGAGCCAGTCATCAAGGACTGAAGTATTGCCCTTCGCGCTTATAACCCCACGTTGCGACTCTAGAACGCCGAAGACCTGGACACTGTCGTTACGCTCGTTTGCAGTAGGAATCTGGCAACCAAGAGAATGGTCCTTCAATTTGCTGTCATAAATCCCATGGGTGAAGTTGACTGGCGGGCGCTCTTTGGTGTACTGTGCTGGTATGTGGTACTCAAGTTTATCGTTGCTGGTGTTGAGGCGCAGTCTCGCTCCCAACTTCCTCCAACCCGGTTTCTCCAGCAACCTCCATAATGCTTCGACAAGCTTCCGCTCATCAAGAACATCGTCAAAACACATGGTGAATTCGACTGAAACGTTTCTGTTTTGATGCGTGTCGTCGCGGCTGTGGAGGGGTATGATGGTATCCGTGGGTATGCGAGGAGGAGCGACTCGCTGCCCAGGGAAGTAGTTCGATAGGAAGGACATGTTTAAGAAAGCGAAAGCTATCACTGGGTGCCTCACAGAAGAAGGAGAAGGTGATTTACCAATGTCGTATCAATTTTGGTGCGGGCAGATACTTCAAATATATGTCTTGCGTCTAAGCGACGCGAAACCAAATGCATATGCCACAAGCGATACTTGGGTACGCCCGGGCGGTATCTCACGTGAGAGGTATCGGATAGTCGATTGCCCAGGGCTTGTGGACCTTACATCCGCACTAAATGGCGTTCAGATGTGTGCCTACTAGCAGTAGGTGGCCAATCATATGTGCCTTGGTGTAGTAAAGGGCTTGGATTAAGTAGCCTACTGGGTAGCTTCGCATTAAGGCTGACTATACGCCAAGCCTCGCATACCGGTCAGCGGGATCTCGGGAGAGTCCAATCCCCGAACTGCCGGCAAGTGGAAATATACGAAGATACGAAGGTCGTGGCGGATTAAAAAAGTCCGAGAGTTTCCACGAACCGCCTCACTGGGCGACAGTCGCCGTCGCCTGCAGCCTTATGGTAGCTTGGGACTGAGATGGATATGCAACATAGAGTAAATGAAGATGTTGTGGATCATCGTAATTTCATAAGTACCGTCGATGAGGAAATGTCAATTGCCAGGCCCAGTGAAATTCCCAATGAACACAACCAAGATCGCACAGTAGGCTGCAGACGCCGCGAACAGTTCATGCCTTGCCGCCTTGGTCAGCAGACTCATCGCAGCACTGAACAGCAATGTGAATACTATGAGCACACCAACTGCGTTGAATGTATCTCGCTTGTTAATGTCCACTTGACTCTGGGCGGAAGTTTTGCCTGATGGGTCGGTCTCAATATGGGCGGCAGTGTTCGTCAACTGGTACATGGTGATGACTGGTACCACGAGGAGACAGAATATGATGAAGGTGATGAGGATGTTGACCAGTTTGTCGACGCGAGAGCTGCTGTAGTAGGAGATGTCGGAATCGCTGGTCTTCTTTTGCGCTTCTGGGGTTCGGAAGTATTTCTGCCGAATGTGTAAGTGATTTGACTCTTCAAGTTGGAAGATCGAGTTCATGTACCTGTAGCGGGGGGTTCTCTGTGTTGAAGACTTTCTGAAGGAAGCGGTCTGTTTGCCCTATCATCGTCTCTACGCCACCATCGAAACTCGCCCACTCACGACCATTATGGATGGTGACTATGTCTTCTTTTGTGCGGATAGAGTCAAGTACATCATCCATGAGCGGCTTCTTCTTGAAGCAGTAGCGTCGCACACTGCGGTAGTTGCGATCTGAGGGCCTTTGGAAAGACTGGAGCTCTCTTGCCTTTATGAGCACCTCATCTGTGCGTCAATTAGCTAATGACTCACGAGTAGGACTCCCCTGATTACTGCTGACGTATACATACCGTATTCGATCAGTTTAGCTTTGATCTCGCCAAGTATGACTCGACGGCTGCGATCAGCTCCTTCGCCGGTAGGCTGCTGTATGTCGTAGTCCCTGGACTTCAGACGACGAGAATCCACTTCATCATCCACTTCGTCAATGTCATCAAGTTCTCTTTCCAAACAGGTGATCTCATCCTGCAAATCGAGCAGCACACGTGAATGCAGGTAGCTGAAACTGCGATATAATGCAAAATTTGTGTCGCTAGCTTGGAATGCTGCAAGCCTTGGAAATCCGTTAGGCGTATCTTCCACTACGTTATATCAGTGACAAGCCATATGAAGACTCTTGAATATACTCACGTGTCCGAGTGTTGGTCTCAGTCACGAAGAGAGGTTCTGGCTCGGAGCGAAATGAACCTGTCATGCGATGTAAAACCCCAGGCCGCTTCTTGTCATTCGCTGAAGAAATGTCAGTTTTGCTCATATGGATGCCAATCATAGCCCTAGATTGTAATCACGTCATGCATACGAGCTGGCTGACCGGTGTGAGCCATTGCGCTTCAGCTGATGCCGAGCATCGACCATGTTTGGCCCTGGGGGCCAAAATAGTGGCATGGAGTGACCTACAAGGCTGTGCACTTTCAATGTCAACGTCGACATCACCTGAGGTCGTTGGCATTGGGGCCGAGGTAGTAGGGTGGCAGTCACTATTCTCGTCCGCTACTTCGATGTAGGCGTCACCTCTTAGGGTTGTGTCGGTACCCGTTGGAGATACTGGCGATTGAGGTGTCTTCTCATCGGTAAACGTATCCCCGGTCATGGTACGAAGAGGGGTCATGGCGAGGCAAGAGACAAGCGAGACAAGCGTGACAGCGACGAACGAAGAGAAGGCAAGCAAGATATTTCGCACAATCGAATATCACTCAAGCGAGCATTAAAAGTGAGTTGTGGCTAATAGATTGTGGCAACAGAAGGGTGTAAGTAGTATTGAGCAGCGGGAACAAGAAAGATGATGGTTGCATGTGTAAGACTCAGCCCCAACGCCTCACTCACAATTGGCTGCGCGCGTCACAATTTCAGCTGCCTGGTGGCATTCCGGTGAGCTCAGCCTCAGGCAATGTGGCACTGTTCAGGCGCCGGCCCTGAGGTCCCTTTCGCGTGTCCAGCTGCCATCCACTTTTTGTGTGTAAAAGTCCTCAAGCTGATACTCGATCCAGCCATGAGGGCTGCTCCTGCGCGCGTAGATTGTATAGGCAGATCTGGTTTGAGCACCACCGGGTGCTGATGCCCTCTTGCGCACTCTGTCGCCCTTGTTGAAGCGCGCATCCGCCTGGCTCTTTGTTAGAAAAGTGTGTTGCGCTGAGAAAAGAACGGACATACTAGATCCGCGGTCGTGATTTGTGCAACCCCGGACTTGGTCAGAGGAGTTGGGTTTTCGGGTGTAGAGTCCAAATTTTGATCCTGTGCCTGCGTATCAGCCCTGGGTCGCTGTAATAACGGGGCGCGACTCACCTCCACAGCCTGAACAGACTGATGTTCGAGCATGTCGGTTGCCATTGTCACTGGAAATCTGTAAAGCGAGGCAAGATAGCCTTGTAGGTGATGCCCTTGGAAAGGAGCAGGCTGTCTTCTGTTATAGGGAGGGCTATTGCTGGCCTCCGTGACCATGTACTTGCAGCAGCCCCAGGCAACACAGGTTCGTGACCGGTATTGATGATAGTCGGGACCCTTTGGGTTTGCACAGCCGCAGCTTGGAATGTTTGCTTAGGTGCATGCAGCGATGCGGCACCATGCGCCATGGCCCCCTCTACCGGTGTCCTACCGCTGAGCAAGCCGTCATCGTGAACGGCCATTTACCGAAAGAGGCTATGGCACGGGACGGAACGCTCAGTTCTTAGTAAGACGAGCGTTGGGGGTGCATGGTGGAGGCACTGCCTTTGGCCCCCAATGGTGGTGGTGTGATTGCGCGGTGCGCTAATTGGCCAAGGCCAGCTGCATCTGCCATCTCCGCACTCTTCAAGCCGTGGTGCATGCACCCAATATGGGGGCTGAAGGTTACTCCAAGGCTACGAACTCCATCCTTCAAAATGGCGTACACCTGCGAACCCTCTCAGCCTCGTACCTTGGAGGCTCTCCCACCCAATGGCTCCTATTCCAGACTCCACGATGCGCGTCGCGAACGCAGCAACGACGACCGAGATAGCCCCTCCTCGCAACGCAAACCCCCTCCCCGACAAAGTCATCAATGCCGACATACGCATACGCTCGATTGAAGACGAGCTTCAGCGCAGCGGACAGACTCCCCCAACCCAGGAGACTCTCGTAGAGAGCACGCCCACCAAGGAACATGGCGACGCGAGTACAGAGTCGCAGAAGAACTGGTGGGCCGAGGCCATTGCCGAGAACATGGATCTGGCAGATGGCTACACCAAAGTCGCAGTGCTGCTGATCAAGTGGGAGGACGGTCTCGACGAGCTCATGACTGGTGACGAGGTATGCTAAGGGGAGACGCGTTGAATCCGAACTGACTGACAATTCCAAAGGCCAGAGAACTCGCAACCCTCTTCAGCGAACGCTTTCACTACCAAACCAAGACGGTCGAATTGAATGTACGAGAGAAGCCACAGCACCAGCTCAATATGCACGTCAGTCAATTCATCTGCGAGCATGACGGAACACAAAGTCTGCTCATTGTATACTATACTGGGCACGGCGTCTATCAAAAGTCGACCAAAACTTTGCAGCTCACGGTAACTCAAAACCCAGATGAGGAAAAAGGCCTTAGCAAGATAGGCCATGCGAGTTGGAACATGGCAGAGGAGCAGCTCCGTCAGCCAAGCGTCGAGGCCGACGTACTAACTATATTGGACACTTGCTACTCGAGCAATCTTGTCAAGTCTAGCCGGCAGGAAGAGAAGAAATTTGAGCTACTTAGCGCCTGTTACATCGACGAGACGACTGCCGCCCCCGGCCCCAATTCGTATACCCGTGCTTTCATCGACGCTGCCACATACTTCATCGACAAAGATCCCAAGCGTCCAATATCTACCTTCAGCCTAACACAGCGCATCAATGAAGACAAGAGGCGTATCGATACTCCTTCACACCTCTGGGGCCGTAACCGCATCCCTCAGCCAAACCAAGAGCACATCTTCTTAACACCCCTCAGTCCTGCCAAAGCCGATACTCTACACCAATACCGCCCCAGAGCCAATGGGTACTTGACCTTACGATTCGGTCTCCGCGACGCCTCGCTAAACCAAGCACAAATCGATTACATGGCCAAGCTCCTTACAAAGGCATGGAACAACAAGGATTCGATTGGCTTGAGGAGGATCGACTGCATAGAAATGAAGCCTGCTCCGCCACTGTCGCACTTCGAGCGCGTGACATCCGTGCTGCGTGTTAAAGCGCAGTGGAAGAGGGTCATTGCTAGGAACAAGGAGAGAAAGCAGTCTCAGAACGGCAGTGATGTGGACGGGTCGGTGAAGCGCACACGCGAGGACACAGACGAACTGCCAGAGGCCAAGAGGCAGCACTTGGGACCAATACCCCCACCATCCCCAGCAGTATCGGATGCCTAGGGCGGCGTTTCACCCATTCATCTTCGCTTCCATCATCGCTACTCTCTTCTTTTCAGTCATGTTTAGATCTCGGATACCCCCACTGGTGCTTGTTGCAAAAACTACTTTCTATTATCATATATCAGTCATTACGTATCTAACGTATTCGCAACTATGATTGCACTTGAGCCGTTGCGGCCAAGCATTTCCATCGGCTTCTACTCGGAGGTTGCCCAGACAGGTGGCGCCACTTCTTGGTCTCACCACTATCATCACGTTAAGCTTCGACAATACAGCGTGGTAGCGCTAGACACGTAGCACAATATAGAGAACTACATCGAAGTTTCTCATCTACCCTGGTTGCTGCGTGATACCCTGATCAACACGTCCCGCTGATCGTTTGCAGTGTGGTATAAAGTCGAAGCTTCCCTACGAGGATACGCTCACATCAACATCAACATCCAAGCCACCACTTCAATCTACAAGTCGCCATCGCAGCTTAAGCTTCATCTGCCTTAGCCAGAAACCGATCTAGTCATCAATATCATACCACCCAATGGCTGCACCCAGCACAACCGCCGCTACCATGCTGACACCGGACCGACACAACCTCACCATCGGTCATTGTCGCGCGCAACGACAGGCACTCTATTCCCACACCGATCTTGGCACGCCCACGCTGCTAAAGAAGCACCCGAAACCCATCATCTTTACCCCACGGGCAAGTGAGGATGAGTGGACGGAAAGTCAAGAAGAACTCGAGCGCTGGGGTATGGGAGCCACCAATACGACGAAGTCAGGGTCTAGTCAAGTCACAGCGCCAAGCCGCTCGCAAGGACGGGGTTTGGAGTACGCGGAAGTAATGGGATTCTGTTAGTCAAGAGGAGGAAGAAGAAGAAGAAATAAATGAGAAATGTTGTTAAGATTTCATCATGGCAATCGATTGTTTCTACTATCTCTCTATATCGGCCTCTCTCCTACTACTCTTGCTAACTAGTACTTCGCGCACTGCATCTGTTACACTTCCCTCCAGCGCGCATACCCCTAGCGCGCTCACCTTTTGACATCGCAATCTATTATCTTAACCATCTCGCGATGGTGGCCTCTCTTCTACTACTCTTACCAACTAGTATGTCGCTCCTGCTTCGCGCACTACAATGGCTACAACCAACTCCCGCGCGCTTGCCTCCAGCGCGCTCGCTCTTCCCCAGAAAGACGTCTTACACCCGCCGCCTAGCTACGTCAAGCTCGCTCCTGCTATGCTTGCTAGGCGGCGAAGCCACCTCTCGTCAACAATATTCGTCCCTCCTTGCCTCTGTCGAACGCCCTCGCGCCGCTACATTACCCTGTAGTACCCCCTCACTTGCAGCATCGCCTCGGTGTGGGTACATACTATCAACCCTCAGGCTGCCAAAGGTCCACGCGCCGTTATACGCTCCTGCCTTACTCCCTCACTTGCAGCATCACCTCGGTGTAGGTACATACTATCAACCTTCAGGCTGCCAAAGGTCTACGCGCCGCCACACCCCCCTTAGGAGTGTCTGCTATGGCCAAAAGAAAGATCCAACATGACCCATACAAGCAAAATAGTATGGACGGCTACATCTCGCGCACCGCCCCGTCCCGTCTTACTAAGACTACACCAAAGAGCAAGGAAGTCGCCCCGCCCAACCACCCAAGCCCATCAAGACTCAGCGGAAACGGCGACGAGAAGACGACGACGACACGGATGCGGCGCGGCCCCCCGCACAGGACATCAGGCTTACGAGAAGTGCCAAAAAGCGACTAGATGCAGGGTCAACCAGTCGACACGCAGATGAAGATGATGCACGCAGCCTGCACGAGTCCTACACAGCAGGAGAAACAGACGATGACACAGGCAGTGTTTTTGAGTCAGACAACTACAGCGATCCCGAGGGCGACGAAGAGGACATGTTTCTGAGTTCAGACGACAACGAGGACGAGGCCGACCAGCCCGACGAAGACAACAAAGACGAGGCCGACCAGTCCGGGGACAAGGCCGACCAGTTTGACGAGGCCAACCAGTTCGAAGACGAGGCCAACCAGTCTGACGAGGCCAGCCCGTCTGACGATGCCGACCAGACCGACGACGATGCCGACCAGACCGACGACGATGCCGATATCCACCATGCGGACGATGATGACATGAAGGAGACACAGTACTCCCTCGAGATACCGCTACGCGACCAAGATCTCTTTAATGTTGATGTTACCGCCGCTGAGGTTACATCCATGGTGGAAAAAGTCTTACCTGCGCTGTCATCAAGAAAGATGAAGAACTTCTACAGAACTATCGCAGGCCATCTTGAGAAGTCCCCTCCATTTAGGATCCCGGCGCGCTCTCGACACTCCACTACCTGGTCGTTAGTCAACCCTGACTTCGATTTACTATGGAAGCACTCAGCCGACGGCGAGCGGGCTCTAGACCTCGGCGACCCAGGTCTGTTACCAAGATGGCTTAACATGTCAGAAGACGGCCTTGTAAAGCCAATTGGCTCGTTCACCGACACACTACTACTGATATCCAGCTACCCGACAGCATCAGAGGAAGGGAGTGTGCATAACCGCTATGGCACTGTGGATGATATGAGCAATGTTTGTATGTGGATGCTCTATGCAAAATTCGGATTCCACGTGGCCGACATACGATCGCATGGGGTAATGCATGTCGACATCATGGCTCGACGCCTCGACCAGAATCTGATACCAGGATCTGATGGAGACAAGCTCTTTCAAATCACACTCATTAAACCACTCTGGCACAGTGTCGTATGCTGGTATTAATAAAGTACAATAAATTATTCAAAATTATCTAGGTAGAGCGGGATGTGTGTAGCTACTATGCTAACTAGATGAGATTCAGGCATGTTCACAACAAGTAGGGCTAGCGTGTGATCATCTAGACAATCGGACAACTTTCAGATTTATAATTCTGTAGTCCCCGCCTCATGCCACTGAATGAGAGGATCCTGGGGAAGATAGCTAACCCCTAATGAGCCGGACAAAGGTTCTATTATAACTACTCTATGCCACTTATTAAAAGTATCCTAGAGAAGATAGCTAACCTCGGATGCGCTGGATAAGAGTTCTGTCGCAACTACCTCATGCCACTCACCGAGAAGGCGTGGGGAAGATGGTTGGCCATCGATGATGCGCTGGATGTGGGTCCTTTCTCGACTGCCTCATGCCTCTCGCGACTGCCTCATTCCACTCGCTTCTGGCACACAGCACTCGGGGTATCTAATATGCAAATCTCTCGTGCTTTACGCGTTTTCAATCTGTCCTTTACGTTTTCTATCTGTCCTTTACGTGTGCCAGTAAACGCATTTCATCCTCACGACCTCGATTACCTTGCCGCCAACGCGCTCATCCAACAAGGAAAACTCCCCACCTACGAAGAGACCCAGGAAGACACTACTGTCGGCAGCAGCCTCAAGAGCTCGCAACGCGCCTTTGACTGGAGCACTGTCGGAATTACCGTCCCAACTACCTGAACCGCCACCAGGACATCAGATAGCGCGGACTCGATCATCAACAACGAAAGCAAAACGACCCCCTGCGTTTACGGTATTCGCCAACAACACCGGAGCGACAGAGCAGATACTTGACGACGCGGATCCCACAACTAGCATCATTGACGAATGCACGATACCTGACATCGTTGACCGATGCTCCCTAACAGATGACGACCTGTTTAGTGAGCTAACCGCCGACGAAATCCGCAAATTGGTAGAACGATTGTTGCCAGACCTCCAAGAAGATGGTAAGCTCTACTCTACAGCACGTAAGGCGCATGTGTACTAACTTTACCAGGAGTTCAAGAGTTCCTTGCGACCGTTTATGACCACGCATGCACATCGCCGCCTTTCGTTATACCCCGCCGAGAGCGAGATCCGTCCACCTGGCCGCTTACGTATCCGGACATGGACTTCGCATGGGGACAGGCAGTGGAGGGTGAACATGCTATTGAGCTCCCGGAGACAATGGACAACTGGATTGACATGAGCGAGAGCAATTTGGGTAAGTTGTCAACGTGAAGTACGTTGGATAGCCTCTAAGCTAATTACGCTCACGCAGTTAAACCTACTGGAAGCCTCCGCGATACCCTTCTCATTGTCAGCTCATACCCCACTGCCAAGGAGGATAGCACAGTTCATCGATCGTATGGTACCACCCTAGACATTTCAAACGAGTCCATGTTTATGCTGTACGCCAAGCTTGGCCACCATGTATCCTCGATCAGGCACCACGGCGCCCTCCACTTAGACGTGTTCCCCAGGCGAGTTAACCTCAACATTGCACTCGGTCTAGGAAATATCGTCGACCAGGTTCCGACCAATCTCGGCATGTATTGGAGACTCGTGGTTCGTCAGCTCATTGAGTCATCGCATTCCAAAGTGGCTCTCCTCGTCGGGTCCGCAGGCATCGCCACATACGTCGCCTATCTCAAACAAAACAACATCCGCCATCAAATATTTGGCCATCGAACAAAAGCGTGCAACGCTACCGGAAAGAGATTCATCACGGAGTAGAACAGGTTGCAGATGGAGAGAGAAGCGCAAAAGAAGAGTGAAGGTGAAACGAAGAGATAAGGGTAAGTTCTCTATGTGCGAGGCATGCGTGAGGCATACACTGACTTCTTAGTGTTAGGATTGTAGACCGAGAAGGTTAAGTCCCTTGGAAAAAGCCATGGTGGTCAAGATTCGGGAACACACGGAGAGTGGTGTGGAATGAGGTGGAAAGATTTGCCAAAAAGGAGAAGCTTGAAATTATCATCGAAGAATACATGAATTAAACACAAGACGTGTGCGCTGTGGGAATTACATCAAAGTTGCAGTGTGAAGATGGTGATGTCTTCGTATCGGGCTCGGCACGATGCGTGGGCGGGAGATCCGCTAGCGGCGCACTGCTGATTGGTTTCATGCAGGTCCGCTTCAACCCCAGAAATAACTCCCCAAGCCGCGCATCGTGAGCGCCGCTGCCACCAGAGTGTTGCGCCCGTGCTGCTGGCGAGCGCTTCCGATAATCTTCTAATCCTGCACTATGTAGAGCGCGAGCACGTCTATTATACCAAGGCTCGAAACCTCCGGCACCATGGACACGATAGCAGTGGCCCCCAAGGCGTCGGCGCTGGCGTCGCCCAAGATTGTTAAGAATGCAAAGGGCAACATTGTGCCAAGCAGCCAGATGGCGCATATCGCGTATGGATGCGGTAAGCGCTCTGCCATCCAGACTGTCAGAGGAGGCTACTAACGCATGGCAGAGCACATGGGCGAGATGTTTGAGAAGGCGCGCAAGCAGACGCTCCAGCACTATCGGGCCATCCTCCAGAATATCCACGAGAAACCGAGTATAATAGCGCAGACATACACTGCGCCGGCGGATGCGCGCAATGTAGTGTCGCTGAGGCCGCTGTACCTGTGCTTGCAGTGCCCGAGCATCATGACCGAGGTGGATCGCGATTTGCACTTCGAGACCAAGTCGCACTGTTTCTGTGGGTTCAAGACAATGCCGTATACTTGCGAAGGCTAACAGGAAGCAGCTGTCGAGTCACGAGACGGCAACATATACTGTGGCAATTGCCAGGACTTCATCTACGACGAGACGTTGGATGTGCTGAGAGTACAGAAGGGTGTGTGGCGGCATACTCATGCTCCAAGACATCAGATTGGCTGACTACAACACAGGCAAGAAGCGAAAGTACGAAGATAATACCACGACCGAAGACCACAAGCTCGTAATCAGCAACTCGACCTTCCTCCCCTGCCGCGCGATAGGCCTACGTGGGCTCTATAATATGGGCCAGACATGCTTCATGAGCGTCATCCTACAAACCCTCGTCCACAACCCGTTCATACGAAACTTCTATCTTTCCGAAGGTCATAAGCAGACAGAGTGCGAGAGGGACTCATGTGTGAGCTGTGCGCTGGACGAGATGTTTGTCGAATTCCACTCAGCTGAGAAGACGGAGGGCTTTGGCGCTGTCAGCATGCTCATGGGCAGCTGGCTGGCAGGAGAGGCTCTCGCGGGATACCAGCAGCAGGATGCGCACGAGTACATGCAGTTCATACTCAACACGCTGCACCAGGCGAACGGCGGATCGACAGACGACTCAGAGGATTGCAAGTGCGTGGTACATCAGGCCTTCTGCGGGAAGCTCTCAAGTACGGTGACATGCGACAATTGTCGCAATGTGACCACGGCGCAAGACCCGTATATGGACCTTAGTTTGGACGTACGGATACAAGGCAAGAAACGGAAGATCAAGGAGGAAAAGGGTGAAGAGACACCTTTGGATTTGAGGGACTGTCTCGAACGCTTCACGGTGAAGGAGAAGCTGGGCTCAGCAGAGTACACATGTCGAAATTGCGACAGTCCGCAGAATGCGACCAAGCAGCTGAGCATCAAGAGGTTACCACCGGTTCTCTCCATTCACCTCAAGGTAAGTACCAAGACCCGTCCGCAGCGTCCCTGTACTGACAATTACTCAGCGCTTCGAGCACACAAAATCCACGTCCTCCAAGATCGAAACCCCCGTTCGCTTCCCTGTCAAACTAGACATATATCCTTACACGACCTCCCACAAAGCCGCCATGCGCGCCGTGAAGACCTCCGGCGCACCGCTCTCGAACCACAACGTCAACAGCCCGGCGAACGCCCTCGTATACGAACTGAGCAGTGTCATCGTGCACAAAGGCAAAATCGACTCTGGACACTATGTCAGTTACAGCAGGGAGGGTAATGACTGGTTCATGTTTGACGACAGCAAGGTAGTGCTGGTCAGCGAGGCAGAGGTCCTTGCTGCAGAGGCCTATCTGCTATTCTACATGGTTGGCGGACTAGAGGTATAAGAGCCTCCTTGGAAGAAGGTGGAGTTCCGGCAGTTTGGTGTACAGTATCTCTGCTCGGGCATGTTACAGGCCCATGAGCTGCATGATTGGCGTTTAGAGGGCACTCTGGCGTTTGTGAGGGCAGTTGAGACGCCCTCTTTCTCTTGGTATTATCTGGCATACGGGCTTCAACGTTATCACTTTCTCAATACATTACAAGTTTTCTTCCACACACACATCTGACCAGCCTCACTCAATGACGCTGACTTCTTTCGAACGCATTGGTGTTCATCATCCCCATTCCCAATCAGGCCGTCCGCCCGATTCATGCTATCACAACCTCTCCACTCGGGAAACTTTGCCGCGTCCAATACCGCCGCACACACACAAACGCGCCGTTTCAACGCACACTTCGTAGGGCAAAAAGCGATCTGAGCAGTAGCTATTTTCACCGCAAGCAGGCACAGCCGGTGGCTTTACACCGCTCATCACATCCTCTTGCAGCAGCCACCCCACTCATGCAATATATCTGCTATCGTTCATGATTCAGCGTTTCGTGAGATAAATATATTAAGGTATCGCTGCCTCGCAGAATGACCATTCGACTTTATTCTTTTTTTACTTCATGTACTAATTGAACGGCGATTTCGCCTTTGTCGAACTCGAGGAAGTATTGCTCCTTGAGCTGGAATCCTCAAACATGGTTTCGATCTGGGTATTAACCGTTATCCCCTTCCCACTCACAAACTGCTCGACGCCGCCTATTTGATCTGACGGCGGATCTGTGAAGAGCGAATCTTCTGATCCGTTTGCTCGGTTCCGGGTGTCGTGTGTGGAGTGTAGACCGCCGGAGATTTGGTTCGAAGCCGTCAGGCGGTTTCCGCTTGCTTTTCGCCGTGCGGACGAGAGTTCGTAGTGGCGGCCGTAGCTGTTGGCGGAGTCTTTGGTGGTGTTGTTTGTGCCGAGGATCATGGAGCGGAGCGCGGGGAGACAGGTGGCGATTATGGCGATGGCGGTTTCGATCATGGAGACGGTGCAGGTTAGCATCGTTTCATTCCTGTGCGAGTAGTAGGCTCGGACGACTGGCGAGATGTTAGTCTGATTCCAGTTCATCTCGAATCTGATGGGGACGTACTGCTGGCAATAACGACGAAGAAACCCAAGGCGAAGATTCCGGCTACACCGAGCTTTTGCTTCAGCTTCATCTGCAGCCGAGAGACCATAGTGATGGGCAGGCAGATGATGAACACGTCGGTTGCGATGTTGAAGCAAATCGTGATCCAGTAGTTGATCTCGGCGGCTTTGGGACTGCATTGATCTGCGCATGGTCAGTCTCCACCGTTCGCATACATGTGGGTCAGGGTTTGCTTTTGCTCACAGGCTGGGTTATTCGACCATCGCTTGTCGTGGGGGAAACACTGAAAGATGATGTCGAAAAAGATGACGAGGTAGGTGACAGCTAATCCGGCAAGCGTGAAGTTGTACACAAGGACCAGACGCGAGCCGGGAGCAGCCAGGCTCTTGTAAAAGAAGACCAGGGCGAATTTGATCGCCCATAGTGAGGAAACGTAGAGCGTCGATCCGGGGATGATCATCTGCATTATGCCCTTGAAGTTTTCCGGGGTTATAGACGCCATGTCGCCCAGCCCTAGGTTCCACATGTGTTGCTGGATGATGAGGTCCCCGATCAGACATGTCAGAGAGAGTAGGATCAGATAGTCGTCAATTCCGAGGTTGCCCAATCTCGACCATCGCGCATACATGCGTAGCGCGACAAAAGGCACCGTGGCTACGGTACAGATATACCATGACACCTGTCAACTGAATCAGTACTGCACATAGCATACGAAGCATGCAGGAAGAGGAGGACTTACCACCTGCCCAAGCTCACTGTCCACCATGTTGCTTTGCTTGTGTGGCCGTCACCGAGAAAAAGGCCGTGAGGAGTTCGAGCCTGCTCGCTCCACTCTAGTTGGAGATCCAAGAACAGTGTGTGGAGAGTGTGACGAGGGTGAGTAGAACGTCGATTGACAGCGGGGCTGCCGCAACAAGTACCATTTTTCTTTACTCCACGGGCAAACGACCCCCTAAAGTAACTTTACAGGATGTTGCGGGTTGTGCAACTAGTATGCCGTCCCGTAGCGTTGTGGCATGATAGCATCAGGGGACCTCCCAAAGCCCAACCAACCGTAAGCTGGCAAGCATCTGAGAGGTCTCGGCCGCTAGAGTCGGTAGCCAAAATTGAGCTGCGAAACCCTTCTACGGCCGCTACTGAGTGGCAACGTTTTCATGCGTTAGAGCAGGTTCAGCTACGCTGGTTGGAAGAATCTGACTCGAGACGACAAAACTACATGTATAGCATCGTGTCCGCCGAACGGGGCAGTGGGAAACCATACGCCACTGCTCGCATGTGAAGAGACTACCGAGTAATGGATGGCAAAAAATCGTCGTTGGCCTCGGGGTCATGGGTGCGAGGATGAGAAGGGTTGTGCTCAGATCCGTATCGAGGTTCCATGGTTCGGTCCGATGAGGATGCAAGCATCCTAGCTCGCATGGCGATGAACGACAGGGAGCACCGGTCTGGAAGGCGAGAACTAGACACATGGCGCACGAGGCCGACAGGTTCTACCTTGGTACCGTCACCTTCTAGCGCTTTTGGTGTCTCAGCCGGGCTTCTAGCATGGATGCCGCACGGTAGCTGC